CCTCCGCACTATGTGGAGAGTTTTTTCTTCATTTTTTACTCCACACATGATTTAACATCTCTCCACATTGTGCGAAGAGTTTAGTTTTATTTTTTTTAAAGTTCATGTGCGAAGATTTTTTTTATTTTTTTGGTTGTTCATGACAGTTTATATTTACTAAAATTATTATTATTATTTTAATGCTAGTGACATGATGTGTGGAAGAACATTTGTTTGACATAATTATCTTTTTAATATTAGTGACATGATGTGTGGAAGAATATTTGTTTGACATAAACAAAATGGAAAATAAAAAATGACATCATGCATAGTAAAATTAGATTAAGTTACTATTACATCAATAGTGGACCTTCCTTCCCCTTTCTATTAGAAGTTAGAAACGATAGGGAAATTGCAGCCTTGGTCCCCAAAATTTTGGAAAGTGAACAAAATGGAGCCTGATATTTTTATTATTTTTTTAATTACCCACGGCTTCTATATGTCAACTACCTACCATTGATTTATGTTTGCTCCCCCCCCCCCCCCCCCCCCCCCCCTACCTACAAGTTTATAGCAATATTAAAAAATGCAAAAAATATTTTGCACTTTGAATCATTAATGCAATGGAAATATAAAATAAGTATTTAAAACGGATTAGAACGCAATAAATCGACATAACAAATCAATTAATTCTCCATTGATTTCTTTTTTAGCAAACAATCAAAAACTTCGTGATACAAACTAAAGGCTTTTCGACATATATTGTGCACCCACGAAATAGTTCACATGTGAGAAGTGTTACATGTACATAATTATTACATGATGGTGTTCATAATTACATGTGGTACTATCCAACTTTTAATTCAAATCTCGCAATTTCACATTAATAATCAGATGATTGTCATATCACGTTATGGATAATATTATGTGCAATAATTATGTACATGTAGATTTTTTCAAGTAACAATTAATAGACTAATAGATTGATAATGTGCAACAATTATATAGATGTAGACTTTTGTAGACTTTTCCCAGTAACAATTAATAGACTAATAGATTGATAATGTGCAACAATTATATAGATGTAGACTTTTGTAGACTTTTCCCAGTAACAATTAATAGACTAATAGATTGATAATGTGCAACAATTATATAGATGTAGACTTTTGTAGACTTTTCCCAGTAACAATTAATAGACTAATAGATTGATAATGTGCAACAATTATATAGATGTAGACTTTTGTAGACTTTTCCCAGTAACAATTAATAGACTAATAGATTGATAAAAAACCAACTAGTATCCAAAAATCTTCTTCCTCTTGGGAATCTGGAATGATACAAACTCATCAAGTAACAAGAGAACAAAATGATTTCCTACTTCTTTGATCCTCCACCCCATATTGATTGCCAGAAAACAGGCCAATTCTTCTTAGCTTCATTCCAACCCAACAATGAGCCTTCCCTCGTCGGATCCCAACTGGATGACACAATCCCATAACTCACTCCTAAAAGTGCAGTCCCAAAGAAGATAAATGAGACAATGAAGGGAATCCAAGTGGGCACATCAATTTTCAATCCAACTTTGAGATAGTAAAAGAATGGGAAAAACAAAAGCCCAATAAACAGAGGAATTCCAACAGAAAATCCCATTCTACTCATCATTCTGTTGGTAACTATTTCTGGGATAACGCCTTCTTCTTTCTCATCCTCTTCTTCTTCATCTTCTTCGTCGTTGGTGTCGTTATTTTTCTTTGGTTTTTTGAATTTTTTGAGTTTTTTTGAGGTGGGTCCGAATCCTTTTGGGGAATTTAGCGTGGCTGAGACTGGATTGAACTTGAGGTGGGTTTTTGATGGGTTTGGGGTGAGGATTGGGGGTGGGATTCTTCTGTGTTTGATTAGGGTTAATGAAAGTGGGAATTGTAAAGGATGTGCATATGAGTAGGTTCCCATAATTGATTGTTTTCCCTCCTCTTGTGCTTGTTTTCGTTATTACATGTAATTGTTAATTGGTTGGTGGGAATGGTGTACAGTTGTTTGGGGGGAAGAAGCTTATCCTCTTGAGTCTGCACAAGTACTGAAATACCCCCAACTCATTAGGCCTTCGTTTGTTAATATTATTTTAGTAAGAATGCATTTTTTAATATTGTATTGATAAAAAAATATGTGGCAAAAATAAGGAATATTTTTGAATTTACGTTTAATATTATTTTATTAAAGAATGTGTTGCTGAAATAATATCAAATCATTGTTTAAAAATATATTTTTTGAAAGAATGTGGTGTACGAATTGGTTCAAATAATTAACCAAAAATTGGAAAATGAAAATGTGTGTAAAAATGGAAAATGAAAAGGTGTGACTACGTGTCAATTTCGACCAAATATTCGGACTTGATTCGATGGTCAAATTATAAAAGTAAATAGACCAACTTATTCTACTCGTCGAGTAGATCGTCGTGGTATATTTGAAATCTCGAAACCAATTCCGAATGAATGAGAAATTGCGGACCAAAGTTGGATGAAATGAAGTGTTGCAACTTTTCGAAAGGATGCAGGTTTTAGCTAAGTGTTGCAATTTTTTGAAAGGATGCATGTTTTGGCTCACACTAGTTCATTTGCACCATTTCTACATCTATAAATAGAACCCTATGGACATGATTTTGGCTACACCAATTGTATTGAGCATTCATTCTCCTCTTGCAATTTTTTTCTTTCTAATTCCATAGCATTTCCTTGTTAGAAAGAGAATTCCGTTCGAGTTTGCTGGTTGAAGTCATTTGGAGTGCTCCTATGACTTGACATGGTCGTTGTATTTTGGGAGATTATTGTCGAAAAATCGTTGGCCCCGATGCGGGGCAAATTCATCTCAAGGAAAGAGTTATACTCGCCTTGGCCAATCGTATCACTTACATCTAATTTTTTTCTGATTTCATTTCTACTTAATTTTATAAAATGATTAATTTTATTTATATGGTTTATGCAAGGTTCGATATGAAGAATCACATGTTTTAATTCAAGAATGGAAATGGTCAGATTCAATAATCATTGGTTAGTTTCTCAAACTCCATTTCGGTAAGACGAAACATTGTTTCGATTTCGTAAACATAAACGGTATATTTTTTTGTAATATAATATGTACATAATCGGTGTATTCCCCAACAATTTTAAAATGAATTTTCTTATGCATATTATATTTTATTTACAATC